CTGCACTCTAAATGTCATAGCTGAAAATTTCACTTCATATTTGTCGGTAGAGAATGGGCTTCGGATGCTAATAAGACGTTGGTTCCAACACGATGGGATTCTTTAAAGAAAGTAGGTACTCTCACTATATTCCTTGCAGGTGCTCCTGTACTCTCCAAAGACCAAAAATGGAAGTTACAGGCTGTGAGGTCTTACTCTACAAGGGACTTTGAAGCTCTCATTCCCAGGGTTGGAGGAGTTATTGGTTCCTTTTCTGTAGGTGCCAGTGGTCCTTCTCCAAGGTCTAGCGGTCCCTCCTTAGAAAGGAAAGGTATGTTGATTCTTCTATATTTATCTCATCCACTTGGTGTTTTTATTTTTATTTTGGTGACACTTTATTTTCTTTGGAGTAGTAGATAAGGAGATGATTGGGTCTCGCCTTTCTAGTAGGTGTCTTCCTCCTCCTAAGGTGGTGAGGACGGAGGATGCCCCTCAGGTTGCCTCTCTAACTATGTTATCTAAGATGAGCTCTCCTTAGTCAACCCCTCCACTGGCACCTCGAGCGCCTTCCCATTAAGTGATCAATCCAAAGGTGCCTCCTCGGTCAGAGGCTCCCACAGCTGCACCTCCTGCCCCAAAATCTCGTCTAGAGTCTCATTTATTGGCCACACCTTCTGCTTCCCATTCATCCACTTCTCTTGTGGGGACTTCTTCTAGGGCACCTTATCAAATTAATTCCATGTTGGGTAACGCGCAAGTCATCAAGGATCGTCTTAAAAAGTTTTTGTTCACCAACGATGTGAATGAGATTAGTGCATTGGGCACCGAGGGGATCCTCAACTCTTTCCTAGAAGGTTGGGCTCAGGTAAGGGTTTGTTCTCTTCCCTTTCTCCCTTCCTTCCATAAGTTTCTAACATTCTTTTGCCTTTTGTTTCTCTTCAGTATGTGTTTATTTTCAAGGACCCTCATTTACCACAAACTGAAACACGATCATGAAATGGTGCAAAATAAGCTTCTTGCTACTTAGAGGAGGATCATCGAGCTTGAAACTACTGGCAGGGCTTCTGATGCTGACCCTGTGGCAACCCGCGAAAGGGCAGTTGATCTTGAGACTGAACTTTTGGGGACCCATGAGAGGATGACCAGGCTCAAGGATGAGCTTGTAGAGGCCCGTGAGAGGGTCAAGCTCGATGAGGCTGAGCTTTCTGCGTCCCATGGGAGGGAGGCTAAGCTCGAGGCTGAGCTTGCACAGGTCTGTGAGAGGGCCAGACTCAATGAGGTTGAGCTTTCGACAACCCATGGGAGGGCGGTCAAGCTCGAGGCCGAGCTTGTGGAGGTCCATGAGAGGGTCATGCTCAGAGAGGCTGCCGCAGAGGCAGAGATGAAGGTAGCTCATGAGAGAGCTTCACAAGCTGAGGAAATGGCTGTGATAATTAAGAGGGACTTTGATAATGGCCTTGTAGATGACTTCATTGACGGATATAAGGAGCTTCGGGGAAAGATTTCAGCTGGTTTTCCTGATATTGATGTCTCAGGCTTCTTGCTAACTGAGGCGCTTGATGATAGTGATGGAGGTTTTGATGCCAAGGGTNAGTGGCCTTGTAGATGCCTTCATTGACGGATATAAGGAGCTTCAGGGAAAGATTCCAGCTGGTTTTCCTGATATTGATGTCTCAGGCTTCTTGCCAACTGAGGCGCTTGATGATAGTGATGGAGGTTTTGATGCCAAGGGTGATGATGAGGAGGTGGATGACGACCATGAGTAGTTAGCATGCTAGAGACTTTTTTGATTTTTTTTTTAAAAAAAAAAAACATGTTGCCATCTTTTTGTAAAAGTGGTTCTTGCCACTGATGCTACTTTGAAGTTGAGAAGTTGAATATGAAAATGCGAAGATCTTTTTGAAGTAAATCTAGAATTTTTATTCATTTGGCTGCTTATTTTGCTTATCGGGTAAAAGCCCGAGTACAAAAAATAAAACCAAGTCCCCAACTTTCCTACTCTCTCNTAAAAAAAAAAAACATGTTGCCATCTTTTTGTAAAAGTGGTTCTTGCCACTGATGCTACTTTGAAGTTGAGAAGTTGAATATGAAAATGCGAAGATCTTTTTGAAGTAAATCTAGAATTTTTATTCATTTGGCTGCTTATTCTGCTTATCGGGTAAAAGCCCGAGTACAAAAAATAAAACCAAGTCCCCAACTTTCCTACTCTCTCAAGGTGTCACTGATAGTACCTCTTTAGGTGCTCAGCATTCCATGGATGAGGCAAAACCTTCCCCTCCGAACTTTGTATTTTGTAGGTGTCCGGGCTCACCACTTCTGTTATGAGGTATGGTCCTTCCCAATTTGGTTCTAGCTTTCCTTCGCATGAATCATTTGTGGCGAGTAATGCACAAATTGGTTTACACACCACTAATCAGGTAAATAGAACAAAAATGCAATAAAATAAGTAGATGGAGAAAGGAAACAAGGTTTATAGTTGTTTGGTCAACAAGACCTACGTCCACTTTCAATGGCTAAGTTCGCCGNCTGGGCTCACCACTTCTGTTATGAGGTATGGTCCTTCCCAATTTGGTTCCAGCTTTCCTTTGCATGAATCATTTGTGGCGAGTAATGCACAAATTGGTTTACACACCATTAATCAGGTAAATAGAACAAAAATGCAATAAAATAAGTAGATGGAGAAAGGAAACAAGATTTATAGTTGTTTGGTCAACAAGACCTACGTCCACTTTCAATGGCTAAGTTCGCCGGAAAGTTTATTAGCTCCGGTGTGTTGGGAGAACAGAGAATTACAATAGAGAAGAGATGAGCTTGATTTTGTTGAGATGCCCCCCAAGTGTTGGGAGAGCTTACAATTTATAGAAGTCTGTGTAGTAATTGAGTAGCTTGACAGTTATAATGGACTGGAGGTAACTTAATAACTGATGACATCTCCTCTTCTTGGCGACCTCTCCTCTCCTTGGCGACCTCTCCTCTTCCTCAACGGGCAAGAGTATAGCTCTTGGATGCTCCCGTAACTCCCTGATAGGCTTGACCGTCTTGAACCTCATAGGGCTTGCTTGGTCTTCTATAAACTTGGGTTTTTTTCCCATGGATTGAGCCATTTGAGCTTGACCCATAAAGTTTTAAAATTAATGACTTCCAAAACAATCAAAACAAGAGTTTATGACATTCTAATCAATTTTAGTATGATACCCACAGTTTTGTGTGAGTATGGTAGTCTTNGCACCTCATAGGGCTTGCTTGGTCTTTTATAAACTTGGATTTTTTCCCATGAATTGAGCCATTTGAGCTTGACCCATAAAGTTTTAAAATTAATGACTTCCAAAACAATCAAAACAAGAGTTTATGACATTCTAATCAATTTTAGTATGATACCCACAGTTTTGTGTGAGTATGGTAGTCTTACACATAGTGTTATGGTCAAATATATTCGAAAGAATAAAGAAACAAAGCGGTCATCACACGGTATTTTTTTAGAATAGAATTTCAAAGACGTGATTCTAAAACTTAAAAAACTAGTCATATAGAACAAGTGCCAATTTATAAAGAGTCAACCCAATAGTCCCTCTCGCCATTTTAAAAAGGGTGAATTGTATTTTGTATGATTAAAAATAATTGTTTTTATTGCACCCTCAATGTATTAGAGTATTACAATATGACCCTTCTATTAGATTCCGTTATTTTTCCAATTAAAAATTACTTAATTGACACTGAAGAAAAAAAATAAAAGAATCCAACAAAAAGACCACATTACAATACTTTTGATACATTCAAGGTGTAATATGAAAAATTTAATCTTTAGAGTATAAAATAAAAATTCTTAAACCTTTTAGGCTACAAAATCCGATTCTCCCTTTAAAAAAACCCGTCAAAGACTCTCATTTGGTCATTCTTAACTGCGTTTGAGAAATTCTCTGAAATCAAATTGACCCCAAAAGGTGTAGACTTGGAAAAAAACTAGAAAAAAAAAAACCCATCAAATACACTCATTTGGTCATTACAATACTTTTGATACATTAAAGGTGTAACATGAAAAATTTAATCTTTAAAATATAAAATGAAAATTCTTAAATCTTATAGGATGCAAAATCCCATTCTCCCTTTTAAAGAACCCATCAAATACTCTCATTTGGTGATTCTTAACCGCGTTTGAGAAATTCTTTGAAATCAAATTGACCCCAAAAGGGTGTAGACTTGGAAAAAGACTAGAAAAAAAAACCCATCAAATACTCTCATTTGGTCATTATAATACTTTTGATACATATTAAGGGTGTAATATGAAAATTTTAATTTTCTTAAATCTTTTAGGATACAAAATCCGATTCTCCCTTTAAAAAATTCCATCAAATACTCTCATTTGGTCATTATTAACCGCGTTTGATAAATTCTTTGAAATCAAATTGACCCCAAAAGGGTGTAGACTTGGCAAAAGACTAGAAAAAAAATTGGTCAAATGATTTTAAAAAAGTATAAATTACAATGACATTGTTTTTATATTTGCTTTGATTTCTAACAAGAGGGTTCATCTTTTGTTCTAGATCAGCAAGTGCAAACAGCTGATAGATGTGAACAGAATTCACATTTTGCATACTCTGAGGAAGGCAACCAGTATGCAGACCTGCTTGCTAACTTTGGAGTCCAACAATAAGAAACCTTCATTGAGCTTGATAATCCCCCACCAGAACTAGGGAGCCTGTTGAATGCAGATATAACTAGTACCTTGTACCGTAGGAATTCTATTTAGTTGTTTAATTTACTTTTCCAATGTACCAAAAAAAAAAAAAAAAGAATAGCAAACTTTTTTATAATAATATTATTTAAATTGAATTTGCTAATTTAATACATTACATATATTAGATTGATTATGTACCCAACCTAGTATTATGATAGCTTTTTAATTCAACACTTGTAATGAATTCGACCAAAAAACTAGATTGTAAAAAAATAGGTTCAAATAATTTAATTTTTTACTTTAAATTTTAAAGAGGGTATGATTTTTTGTTTCCGTTTGTTAATTAATGGAGTTTGGATTTTGGGTGTGGGGGAGGAACAATTGTTTAGAATAGACTTGGGAACTTGCATCTCTGTCTTATGTTTTTCTCCATTTGTTTTTGTAATAGATTATATATTAGAAATATAAATAAAAAGATGGATTTATAGTAAATACACGATGAATGATTTAATATTAAAAAAATAAACTTGGATGTAGGTGTAATATTTTAAATGTGAGGAGTCCAGTAATTGAGTGATAAATTTGAGAGAATCTAGATATAATTTACCCATTAAATTTTAGACGATAAACTGACACAAACTCCAAGTATTTTCTCGAAAACATTTAATATTCTATTATTCTAGCGTCTTTGACCCAGTCCACTGATTATTACTTCCAACTTTCTCTCTCTTCAGCGGTCAAAAAAAAACCGCCTCCGTGGAGACTTTGAGTCGCCTGTGCTTCTAGTCGACGAGATACTCACAGATATATTTTTTACGTCTAACGAGATATAATTTGAAAATATAATGTATTATTATTAAAAAAAAATGATAATAAAACATATTATGTGACAATTCATTATATTCTTAAATTATATTTATAAATTATTTTTTGATAGCATTGCTTTTTTATATATATAATACCACCTCCTTCTAAAACATCCCACCATTGACATGTCAGATCATCTCTCTCTCTCCCTCCGTCTAAACCATCAAAAACCAAATATCCACACAGAATTCAGAGAGAGAAACAAAGATGAGCCCTGCTTCCTTGTTCCTCTCTTTATTACTCTTTTAAAGCTTAAACTATTGATAATAACAGACACTACCCTCTCCAACCAAAGATCCATAAACAGCTAAAGCTTTTTTGATGAATACAAGCAACATGAAGCCTGCCTTCTTGATTCTCTTTCTACTAGTTTCTCTCTCTATTTTTATTTTTATTCGTCAAACATCTTCATCTACAACTCCAAGCACCAAAAACAATACATCCCAAGCATGTCCCATGAATCTGGACTATGTTCTAAGAATCCCATGGCCTTCCTCTGACTGCAAAAACTTTCAAAAATCCAACCCCACAACTTTCCAATAATTCCAACTACTCCACAAGCAGCACCACCACCAAGTGCTGTCAGACCCTCCTCAGCCTCTTTGGCATAGGACTTTCCCAACACCTCAAACAGACCTCTCTTTTCCATCTACCCAACTTACCCACCTCCATTTCTTGCCTCTCTGACTTTCAGACCAAACTCAACTCTCTCTCTCTCCCCTCCAACCTCACCTCCCTCTGTTTTGACCCTCGCCAATTTGTTATCTCACCCAACATATGTGCCTCAATACAAAACACTCAAGATTGGGTATCCAAGGTTGGCCCATCAACTCGCCTCGACTCAGCTTGTAACCCAGACCTCTCTAATCTCATTGCCTGTGTAGCCGCAGGCTTTCAGATTCAAGCTGAGTTGATATCAATTGATGGTAATAGGTCTCACTCCCTTGATTGCCTCTACTTCACAATTTTATATGCTGCTGAAATCATTAATCAGTTTGGGCCGGAAAGTACTGGTGCCATTTCATGTATTTTGAATCTTCCACTTGGTTCTTCTAAGGTTCCTTCAAGTAAGAGAAATTTAGCTATGATATTTGGAGTAACCGGACCAGGTGTCGCCGTCTTGGTAGTCTCCTTTTTGGCGGTTTTGTAGTTTTTCCGGCGTAGGAACAGGAGGAACAAAACCGAGTTTGATTCTGGTGAAGAGGAGTCAGGATTTAGGCCACGAATGCGGCCTAACACAGGTTCAATAGGGTTCAATATTCAAGAGCTGGAGAAGGCAACTGATAATTTTTCAGAGAAGAATTTCATTGGGAAAGGTGGGTTTGGGATTGTCTATAAAGGGTCTTTACCTGATGGGAGTATGATTGTTGTTAAAAAAATAATAGAATCTGATAATTATCAAAGGAATATTGAAGAGTTCTGCAATGAAGTTGACATCATTAGCAACTTGAGACATCGAAATCTTTTGCCACTTCGAGGGTTTTGTATAGAAGAAGATGAAAATGGACATGACCAAAGCCAAAAATACCTTGTTTACGATCACATGTCGAATGGGAATCTTCATGACCATTTGTTTCCTTCTGAAAATGACAATGGAAGAATCAGCAAGAAGCAACCCTTAACATGGCCTCAGAGAAAGAGTATAATTTTGGATGTGGCGAACCGGCTAGCTTATCTTCACTATGGAGTGAAGCCTGCTATATATCATAGAAACATTAAGGCCACCAACATATTATTAGATGCAGATATGAGGGCAAGGGTGGCAGATTTCGGATTGGCAAAACAAAGTAGAGAAGAAGAATTGTCTCATCTCACTACTACTAGAGTTGCTGGAACACATGGGTACTTAGCCCCAGAATATGCCCTTTGTGGGCATTTAAGTGATAAAAGCGATGTTTACAGTTTTGGCGTCGTGGTTTTGGAGATAATGTGTGGGAGAAAAGCTCTTGATGACTCTTCTTCTTCATCGGGATCACATCAAGCATTGGTTATCACGGATTGGGCTTGGTCGATGGTGAAGGCGGGGAAGATGAAAGAGGCTTTGGATGATTCATTGACAAGAGATGGAGAGTATGCAAGTGCAGATCAGCTGAAGGGGATAATGGAGAGGTTTGTGCTTGTTGGGATTTTGTGTGCTCATGTAACGGTTTCTGTGAGGCCTACAATTTTGGATGCTATTAAAATGTTGGAAGGAGATATGGAGGTTCCTGCAGTTCCAGATAGGCCAATCCCTCTTGAATATAAGCTTGATTTTTAGGAGTTATATTCACATGGAAACAAATGGGGTCATGAGATAATTCTCATTAGTCCTGGCCGTGTACTGTCAAGTGACAAGTTTGAATCTTACCATCCATTTGACCTTGTAAAAGTTTCAAATAGACTCAAAAAAAAATGTCCATTTTCATCTTCTTCTGCTACACAACAGCCTCTAAGTTGCAAAAGGTTTCGATGCCTCAAGCTGCTAATGATCTCAAACTTCATTACAGAACTCTTCATTCCCTTTTAACGTTGTTAATAATCGAAATGACTTAATTGAAATGAAATTAATATTAGAGAAACTAAATAAATATAATTGAAAATTCAGAGACCAAATTAAAAAATTGAAGACAAAATTTAGAAACCCATTATGATATATACCTTCTTTTTTCTTTCCTCGTCTCTTTCCAAGTCTCCATGGTTTTGGCATCAATGTGATTGCAAAAAATTTTTCAAACACGTTTAAGAATTCTTTAATCATCACAGAGTGGGCAGTGGGAAATGGTCAACGAGAGAGAAAATGGTTTCTATTTGATGAGTCTTTCTGTTTTTTTTTTCTTTAACACAATTGATAGCAGTCTTATTAAAATCAGAGAAATATTATTTGAATTTAAAATTTTGTCTCAATCAATCACAATCATTGATCATATAACGAGTCTCAATAAATGTCAAAAGATCGACAATTAGATCGATGATCGTATTTGATTAACTCAACAAATAAAATCAATATTTTAAGTTCAACTAGCTCTTAAAATCGCATTTGGAAAAGTTTACTCCCATGAAATAAGGTGTTATGGCCGCTTCTACCTTTATTTTCGTTAATATTACCAACCTTACGATACGTCAAAATAAGCCGTCTCACTTTAGTCCATTGATTCTACCCAATAGTTGAACTCTACAGACTCTACAAACAACTTTCTAGCAAACAAACGAGTTGTTTCAAGTTTAATTGTGATGGAGTAATACCAAGAAAAAACGTGTAGTTCATACCACAAACAGGTCAGTAAAGCTACACAAAGCATGGCTGGCCTGATTGAAGCCTGGTCGAACTGACTCATATGGATTTAGGTCAGCCAAAACAAGACACGAAACAGTTCAGTCATTGTTAGAAGAATGTCAGAAATGGAATTATATTACCAAACTCTACTTTGGGCAAGAAGACATCATATCTAAAATGTCATGTCACACTTACGGAGGAGAATCACTAACGGTTAAATATTCCTCCAAATATTCTAATAGATTATGAGAACAACACTATCATTGTTGTAAGGACCACACCACCTATGTGTATAAATAGGCAAGCCTCTGCCTTACCATTGCGTGTGCAATTGATTTTTTTAAATGTAATCTTCTTCTTCCTCAAACAATAGAAATTCATAGAAACAAGAACCTCCATTACAATAGACTTGTCAAGCTCTTCAGCTTGATGAACCACTATCTTGTTGTGTACCTGTTTCTCACTCTTTTACTCACACCCAGAGCTCATACACCTCACATTGAGCTCTACCAAAGGTTTATCGATCTCACGGGATGCAGATCCATAATAGGCATATAGAAATTATTAAGGCCAGAGAGAATGACACATCTTTTTTCTAGAGAAAATTGATTGAGCCTTGACAAAATTCAAAAGAGGATAATTAGGAAGATGATCAAGACTCATATCAAATGGGCAACATTCCTTTAATTTTTGTCTTTGGTTAGAGTACTGGAACAAATTCTTTAGAAGCACGCATGCATGTGTAATCACCTTATTACTCAGAGGTTCAAAGGTTCTATTGAAGAAAAAATGGGAGATTTGGCGAAAGGTACAAACTGAGGGACTTTTTTGGTTTTAGGTCCAGCNGGGAGATTTTTATAAATGTTTTACTTATTATCTTGTACATGTATTTAATTATAAAAAGTTTTCATTACTTATTCGTATGATTTGTGGAATGTTGTTTTTAAAATTTTGTAAATGCTTGGGAAAAGGATTATCCTACTGAGCGTGTGGTTGCTCATACCTTACTATTATTTTCAGAGACTAGTATGCATCCTGGGACATAAGTGATGAAATGCTTGTGGGAGCTTGGACTAGAAATAANATTATTTTTAGAGACTAGTATGCATCTTGGGACATAAGTGATGAAATGCTTGTGGGAGCTTGGACTAGAAAGAATCTCTTGTGGAGTTTTTTTGTATTCATCTTTAGAATGTATGTAGAAATGTTAGCATTCAACCACTGTATTTGAAAGGTTGTCTTGAGGCATTTTTGGTATACACTTGATCATCCCATAAAGAGATTATTATTTTGGGTATTGCATTGTAAAATTATGATTTTGGGTACTAAGTTGTGGTATATATTGGTCTTAGATGTATCCGAGTTTGGGAGGATTTCGTGGGCCTCTAATTGCCACCCCAGATGTAGTTGGATTATATTTTCGAATGGAGGCATGTTGTGGATGTTTAGTTAGTTATACTCTCACAGAGATACTCTTACTAACTGGTTGGAAGCCCAATTTTTAAAAAAAACTCTGACAAAATTTTCAAAAAAAAAAAATTGATTTATTTCAACTAAAGAGATACTTTCCTAAATGATTTTACAACATACCGGTATGTGTTTTTTTTTAAATAAACAAAGTATTTATTTTAATCACCCTTTTATGAAATTTGGGGCGTGACAAGTTGGTATCAGAGCTTAGGTATTAGGTCTTATATGAGAGCTATAGGTAATTGGATTATCCAAATATGGTCTCAGCACATAATGTTTTTGAAAGGCATTAGACTTTTGAGGTTAATTGTAGGAAACAACGTATCTCATAAACTCGACTACTTCTCTAGAATGTATATGATTGAAATAGTGATCTAAAGCCTAGTTGCATATGTAGGATGAAAGCAAAAAGAGGACGTGGGAGACCACCCCGAGGAGAGGAAAATCAAGTACCGCCACGTCAAGACACTATGAATGGCATCTACTAATGTTTGAGGGAGCTCACTACATGGATACAATAACAAGCCGGGAACAACAACAACAACCATACTACCGCCACCCAAGCTCAAGTGAAACAAGTTGGAGTTAAGGGTAGAAGGATGATGGTTCTTAAAGAATTTATACGACAACGCCCTCCTACCTTTCAAGGAGGCCCGGATCCACTCGAGGTAGAGAAATGGCTTTGACAAATGAAGAAAGTGATGGATGGCATGGATATTGCCAATGACTTGAGAGTTGGTCTAGCTGCATATCATATGGAAGGGGAAGCTGACCATTGGTGGGCGTCGGTAAAAAGAAGGATAAATGTGGAACAAATGACTTGAAAAGTTTTGAAAAGGTTTTCAATGGGAAGTATTTTCCTGAATCAGTGGGGGATAAGAACATCCAACTTCATGGCACTTCAACAACGTAACATGACTGTCACTCAATATGAGTCCAAGTTTGTGTAGCTCTCCCGCTTTGCTACAGAGTATGTATCAACTGAGGCCAAGAAGGCCAAATTGTTTGAGAAAGGTTTGAAGCCATCTATTCAGGAGAAATTGGTAGCTCTTCGCATTCGTGACTTCGGCGAATTAGTTAAGCGTGCTACCTTAGTGGAGAGAGATTGGGAGGAAACTCAAGTCATTTGACAATGCCGCCAATATAGGAAGAGTCAATCCAAGACCGACAGTGGTAGTGGTGGACGTCACAGGGATACTCCATACCAACGTCCATAACACAATATGGGTCACGGGAATGAGTCAAGCTATGCACAAAGTTCGAGACCAGGAGGCCACGTTTTGAGAGTCCCAGCACACTTGAAGCGGTGTTATGGGTGTGGTTGCACAGATCACCTCCGGAGTCACTGCCCTTCAGTAGCTTCTTCACCACAGGGACAAAGTAGTAGGAGATTTTATCAGCAGTCCATAAAGCTACCATATCAGCAGACTTCTTATGCTCATGTACAGATAGTACCACAGCAGCCTCAGACCACTCAATTCAAATCTCAGCCACAACAGCAAGCCCAACAGAAGAAACAAGGAACCACAACTCAGGGCACTGAGGCCTCAACTCGCATTTATGGTTTAGTTTAGCCTGATGGGAGTGCTTCTAATGCAGTAATGGAGGATATGATTCTTCTCTATAATTCATGGGCTCGTATCTTGTTTGATCCCGGGGCAACCCATTATTTATTTGTACATCATATGTCATTGCATTGGGGTTGGAGTTTGAGCCTTTGGGTTATATGCTATATGTAAATCTACCTACCAGGGATTGTTTTGAAACAACTATAATGTGTAGGAATTGTATACTTCGCTTTGGAGAGAAAAAGTTTAGGGTAGATTTAATTGCTTTGGAGATGATGGGGTATAATGTTATTTTCGGAATGGATTTAGTATCTTCCTACCATGCTACTATGGATTGCTACCGGAAGAAAATGATATTTCGTGCACCAGGGGATATACTTTTCTATTTCATAGGTGAAAATAGTATCCCTCGACATCTCCATACTACGGGGAAACACGTTCTGGAGGTTGATATAGGGATTAGCCTAAGTTTCTTAGCCCATATTTCTAGAGAGGAACGGGATGATGTGGAGTCCACTTTTATTCTTGTAGTATCTGACTTTCTTGACGTTTTTCTCGATGAGTTGCCTGGATTACCTCTATTGAGGGAAGTGGAGTTTTCTATTGAGCTTTACCCTGACACGGAACCGATATCTATTGCTCCTTATCGCATGGTGTCGTTGGAGTTGAAGGAGTTAAGAAAATAACTAGATGAGCTTCTTATCCTTAGGTTTATACGGTTGAATACTTCACCTTGGGGTACTCTTATCCTCTTTGTGAAGAAAAAAAGATGAAACCCTTAGATTGTGTGTGGACTATAGGAAGTTGAACCGGGTGACTATAAAGAACAAGTATCCTCTACCCCGCATCGACGACCTTTAGACAAAGTATAGGCACTTTGAGTTTGTGGTGATGCTGTTTGGACTCACGAATGCACCTGCAGCTTTTATGGATTTGATGCATCATATGTTTCAGCCCTATCTTGAC